ACCCCTCATCCCGCAACTGTTGCCACGGAACAACACACTCACCTCGTCCATATATAGGTGCACTGGGTGGTCGACCTTCAGCCTGGACGACCCTGTCATCTCAGAAGACCCCGGCTGCGACCTAGAAGACGCTTGCACCAGCTGCACCGTCGATTGCGGGGGTCCGGAGCTGATCGATTTCCTGTTTCACATCGATACCGACCCTTATGAGACGGTGCGTGCACGTGGGAGTCAACGGTTAGGGGAATGCTCATCGCCGCTGAGAAGAAATAGGTTGATGTGGCATGTATAGTCTATCGGTCACCGTATTCGAAGATAGATGATGCTTCGAAGTGCAGCAGCAGTCTCAACGTGTTTGTATGGTGAGCACGACCTACCACCACTCGCTTGCTGTGAACATGGCATGAAAGGTCGCGTGGTTGTGGAATTGGTATTTCAAAGGGGTTGGTAGGAGCAATAATCCGTCTCGATAGAAGCAATCGTCCCATGGCCAAAACTCGTTTCCTCTCTGTGGCAAGAAGTCCTTTCTCGTAAACCTGACAGGAGAACCCCCTCCCCCCATACTCTGCTACTCGTGCCGTAATTGCTGTGGCACTTTGGTACTTGCACGCCAGGAGAACCTGAGGGACTCGATGCCCGAGAAGTATGCGGAGATGGTACAGCGGTTCGAGGTGTCGACTAACGATGAGGTTGTTGCGGAGTACAAGCCTGCTCAGCCCCAGGCGCTGGAGGTACGCAAGTGCCAACGAATTGTGCTGGTCCCGAGGGTTGGATGTGTTGTTTTGGGTAGTCGTTGTCGACGTTGCTGTCGGTGTCGACTTCGTCGTTGTTGCTGTTGATCTTCGTCGTTGTTGCTGTTGATGTTCGTCGTTGTTGCTGTCGGTCTTCGTCGTTGTTGCTGTTGATCCTTCAAGTTTGCTTTCTTTCGCAATGTTGACCCAGCGCCACCTCACCTGTCCGTGATCGTGATGATCGAGCAAGAGCGGGCACGGGCTTGAAGATTTTCTGACACACGTACCGTATATGCATTCCACGAGGTAGAAGAACCTCAATGAAATGTTTCCGCTATTCGCCGGAACTTTTTGTTTTGTTTTCTCGGGGATCAAGGGAATCCCCTTCGGTTCTCCTTCTTTTTTTGTGTGTTCGAAGACGCTTTGCAGACATCATAAAGGTAACGCTATTTAAAGTGAAAGCATTCACAACACATAACGATAACGATAAGCCGAGCCCGTAGACTATATATTTTTCCCTTACCACGAACCCACACCGTCCTCTCACCTCACGCTTCCCGACTTGTCTCGCAGCGATGGGACGAGTTCAACCACTGGATGGTCGCTTGGCTTTAGGATAGGACTACTGTATTAAGAACGAAAGTCACCGGAGATCGACGTTCACCGAACGACTTTCGATCGGAGATCATTATTAGTGGATGGGCCGCCTGTCGTCTCGGCCTGTGATGACCCGGTCGAAGCCGGAGGAGTATTTGTGGGTATTTGTGGGGCACAAGCGCATCGGCCCAAGTTCTGTTCATTTTCATTGTCAGTTTCGTGTCCGTTTCCCCACGTCCGTTGGTTTAGTCTGCCTCTTGAAGTTTTTCGTTCGCTCGAAAGGATACACATGAATTAGTGTGTTGTCGTCTGACAGTTACAGGGATAGAGTGGAAGTTGAAGACCGGCTACCTCAATGCTGTTTGGAGTTTAAGTGCCCACCGACCGATTTGACATTGTTGATTGTAAGTACCATAGAGTCTACGGCGTGTTGCTCTCCGCATCGAGGAGATCCGGTGCACAGTTTTTTCGTGTTCTTCCGGCCTTAAACGAAAGGGAATGAATCAACTCGCTTGTTTCGTACTGTTGTTACGCATTTGTTTCCCCTGTTCCGTCCGTTGGTTTGTGACCTGGTACTATTTTGGTACTTCTCTCCCGTATGTTAGTTTTGTCCGTTAGTTTTTTTTGTTCGGGTCGAAATGCCAGAGTGGACTACATAATTGATCTACAGTATTTCAAGTTGCCTTTTCGCTGGTGGCTGGTGGCCTCTCTCTCCCGCCATTGCTCACGCTGTTTGCTCATGCCGTGCCATCTGTTCCTTCCCTCCCAATCAGGAGTTAAGTAGTAAAGTGTTCTATTCGTCAGTTTTCGCATGCAGCAGGTAGATGGTGTGTTCATCAAAGTGAGTTAGCAATCGAGCTATATGCTCGAGTAAGGTCTGCATGCTGTAAGAGATTAGTGCTGCGTATGCATATATATCTTGTTATTATCCTGTCGATGATTGGGTTAGGGCTTGAGGAGGTAACGTCAGTAGTATGCCTGAAGAAATCAGCTATTTACGATGGAATGGTTGCATACCTTACATACGCATACTGGTGACAATCTTTGGTACCATACACCGCGGTCCGGACACCGTTGTCACTTTTTTTTTTCACGTCCTTGAAGCGAGGGAGGGAGTGATTGCCCGACAGCGGGGGAGGCTGATTTTGTTTTTGTGGCTATGAAAAGCGTGCGTCGCGAGACGGGGACGGACGTCGTTGAGCGGCCGCTAGCGTTTAGTGTTCCGCTCAGGACACTTGATAACTGTACACATGTAGTCTACATGCAGCCGAGGGTGAGGTGTCGGTCTGTAGACAATTGGCTCGGGCGCAACATGTCACACAGCACACAACACGAATTTTTCACTGCACTGGTTGGAACCCAACTATTTGCTCAAACTCCAACATCAAGCCCACGCACAGCCAAATAGATGGGGGATATTCGTATTCGTACTTGCCACAGACGCGATGCGCAGAAATCGGTCCGTGATCTTACAGCAGCATCTTGACAACATGAACGGGCACCTTTTCTCTCTCTCGTTCACGTGTCCGTTATACCGAAAAAGCCAGCCTGGTTCGCCAGGAGACAGACAGCACCAGGTCACCCCCCATGAAGCATGCGAAGTGCATTAAGAAACAAATTATTTGCTACGTTAACTGGCATTCATTCCTTCCTCAATCGCGGGGTGAAACACATCCCAAGCACCACGTGCCTATCTATCTCGCCGGCGAGCTAACCTTAACCTCATGCCGATCTATCGATAGGCCGACTGCTGCTGTAGAACAAACCATGTACATTGGGCCCATACATCCTGCCCTACATGTTGCCAGTACCTCAGTCATCACTCATCACACCACATTGGCGTGCATCGCCACCTTACCCGCGAGAACTCACACCAGTAGTAGATTATCCTCTCGTTAGACTAGTACGTCGCTTCTCAAGGCAAAACCAATGTTATTGTAGCGCCATCCGCGCCACTAGCACAACGGTATCAAGCTGAGCGCCAACCCGGAACATCATACAACCACCTTAGAAATCATTAAATCATTTTGTGGCCCTTTCTTTCAATCTTGCCTACTTACAAGCTGACCCGGTTTCGGCGACATGAAAAATGGACACACGACCGACACCAAAAACGGTCCAATTGTGTTAGATCTTCACATTTGACGTATCATCAACTATCAACTAACTCGGTGTTGTTTATTCCTTAACGATCGATGCGATGCGGGATACTACTGCCGCTCGGTGCCGATGAAATAACACATAAAACCACCGTGATCCAAGAACAAAAAAAAAACGAAGGACTTCTTCGGGGTCCATCATGTAAACTCTCGAACTACTCGAAACCACAGGGATAAAACTGGATGGAGCAGAGACAAAGAAAAAAAATCACATCCGAGCAAGCACCCACGAAATACCTAATGTTAATATGTTAGTATGTTAGTGTTTGGATGACTGGGTAGGAGCGAGACCTTTCTTTGATGCGCATTGTACAGAGGGGCAAGGGGGGTATAGACACTTGGTGACACGCAAACGACAAAACAAACGCCACACAACCAGCACTCACTGCTGTCAGGCAATCAATGTCTCCAGGTACATAACAAACAAACGCGTGTACCCCCCCACATCAGTACAGCATTAGGCGAAACAGCTGACTGTGACGCACAGACAGCGGTTCAGGAACAGACTAAAATTTGTCTTCCTCCTGGAGTGCTGGAGTGCTGTAGACTACCCGAGTACAATAACGAACACGACAACACGTTCACCACACACACCACTCCAGAGTCCAGCAGTCAAGTATTTGCCTAGACAAGACGACGAGATTCTAGAATAACGGTATTGCGTCTTCAGAGTCAAGACCACCGTATAGTCCAACAATGTTGAGGTAGGGGTCAAGAAGGACGTGAGCAACTGTAACTGTGAAGGGATGGACGGCATCCACTAAAGAGCCCGCTGTAATGTTACGCATTCCCTAACCCTTACCCTAGCCCAACGACACATCCTTCCGCCACAACGACCGTCAACCAAGAGAACGGGCAAGAAATGGAACAAATGGATTTCAAGACCACAGGAGCAACGCGGCGGGGCTCAGCGCTCACGACCGAAGGTTGTTGTTAAAAAAAAAAAAACAATATTACGAGCGGGTACCTCCCCCGTCCATGTCGGAAGCATTACTGCTGTTGTCGCAAGGGGTAGGAGCGCCAAGAATGCCAGTGGAAGCCAGCATCTCGTGCTTCACTCGTGTGGGTTTCCTATTGGCGGAGGCGGCGGAGGCGGGTCTTGAGCGAACGTTCTCCGGAACGATTCCCACGTTTCCCCAGATGTCGCAAGCACCGGCATTATCACTGCCGGCACTTCGCTGTGAGCCCTCGACCTCCCTTCTCCCCCCCCTTCCGCTGCTGATCTCGTTTCGTCTCCTGTGCAAGCTGTGCAAGCTGTTGGCACGTCCAGTGACGATCCCACCGGCCTGGAAATCTCCGGCATGTCCGACGACTGCAACCTCGCACTCGACGACACCACCATCATCTCCGACATTTCCTCATTCGATGCCGGCATTAACACCATTTCCGACATATCCGATGACACGAGACAGTTATTCTGCTGCCGCAGTGGCCGCCGGTTCTGCTGTTGCTGCGATTCTTGGCTTTGGCGCCGCCAGTCGTCCCCCACGTTGTCGATCCGAACGCAGTAGTCAGCGAGCGGCGCCAGCATCTCTACCGAGCGGGGGACCGCGCGGATGGTATCCCGGAGCACCGAGGGGGGTATGACGCGGCCGGTCGTAAGCCCTCGGCGCACGGCTCTCTTCATCACCTCTTCCTCGGGGGCCCAGACCTGAACAAGAAAATAATGAAAAACAGCACACGTGGCAAGATCGAAGATCCCAACCAAAAAAAGCCAGGGGAAAAAATCAGACATGACGAAACCGATCAAAGAGCGTAAACACCTTGCCAAAAATACAACGAATAAAGTCACGAAGTGTAACAAAAAGGTGGAACATCGTATGTCGATATGCATATTAAGTCAGGTCTTCCAGAAACAAAAACAAAAAACAAGATAACGCGTCATTTGTTTCGTTAAACTTGCGACGTAATTCAATCGATATCGTCTACTGGAAGAAGCGCGATGATTATTGACGCATGAATTCCGCCGAGGCGAACATGTAATCGGTTGAAAAAAATATTAGCGGGGAGGGTCGCAGAAACATATCGCAGGTCAGGTCTGGGTACCGTTCCCGTCCCGGACATGAAAAAAATCAACCATCGTCTTACGGAAGGTACTACTGGACCATGGAGGGACTGACTCCGCCATCAATACTATACTCACGAGACCCGCCGTACAAGATAAACATGGGGAACATGCGGCGAACTAAAACATTGCTAGTTTAACCTCGACTTACCGGCGTCTTTTACGTTCCCCCAAAAAAACACAGCAAGTCCATCTCCTCCACAGATACAAGTCCGGAATAGATTAGCTACGAATTAACAGTGTTGAGTGATTAGTGTTGAGTGATGACCAACTTGTATGTATGTCTACGGTTCCCTGAGCAGCATATTGCCGTATCTCCCCTTCAAAAACCACAAAAATTAATACTTGTGACGTACGTGAATGATGGCCACCCTCAAGCGAGGAAACCGTCGTCTTAGGTCTCCGACATGCTCGGCGTACCACTCCCCGTTCCTCATCGACCCGTCCACTAGGATGTTTCTTCCCTGTAGCAGGGCCGTTTCCTCCAGGAGCTCGGCAAGCAAGCCGGCCTACGAGACAAGACCAAAGAAGTGGGGTGGGTAAGGTAGGTATTGTTGGGGTCATGGTTGTTGCTGATGATCGTATTTGTTGCCGTTGAAGAACATGTTCTTCTTGTTGCTGTTTTCGTTTTTCCATGATGGTGTCGGTCGTTGGTATCCTCGGTACCGCTACTCCACTGGTGGCGCTGCTGGTGACCCCTTCTTCGTCTTACCAATGTTTCGATATTCACCACGCGCATTCACATTTTTCGTATTAGCACGTTTGTTCACTTTCTCCACACCTGCCTTTGCACCCATGCTGCTTTGAATGGCAGAACTTGGCAACATGTCAGCAACAGTAGGGAGGTGCAACCCATGCCGCGCCCTATCTACAGCAGACAATAATATTGCCATCGAGTATGAGTACGGGAGTGTCGCGCGAAGCCGAGGGCGTCAGGGTCAATGGGGGGTGTGGTGCCTTACGTAGCCTGCGGAACGTACCTGGGAGCCAACAACATCAATTATTATAGGCTAGATCGTCATCATCCCGAACTCTCTAGTTTGCTGCCAGGAGTGGGCTCATCTCATCTGCGATGGTGAAACATGTACCCTCTCAGGATCTTCTTTTTCTTGCTTACAAGAACCACGCAATTGCTATCATAGGATAATCTTGTCCTGAGAAGCAAAAACAAGACACCGGGATCGCCCCTGCTCTCCGACAACTTTCCTTGCTGCAACAGCAACAACGGCAACAACATGTACGTGTTATTTCACTATTTGTGATTAAACATACAAGTACGTGATACAAGGTTCCCCTGCGGGAGTTAGGTGATTTGCCTCCCGGGGGCGATGCAAGAGGACATGGCCAACCAATGCCATCGCGATCGCATGGATGGTTGGTCGTCATGACGAGTCCTCTGCGTGCCACGCAGAAGGAAGTGCGAGAAAAAACGCTGTCCCAGCGGAGAAGAACAAATGCGAAGACCAAAAAACGTCGAAATCCTACATCCATTGTACATTGTATTGTACATTGTATGCATGTTAAAGAATGAATTTCCCGTGCTCGAAACATCACCCCGTTCGGAGGGATGCAGCATTGACTTCTCCACATAAAATGTTGAGGGCCATAACCTGCTGGAGGATACCAGACTTTCTTGAGTCTGTTGAAGCCTTCACACGGGAGAGATGAGTGGTGGTTTGAGCGTGTCGTAGGCCCCCCCTCTACAATTCTACTCCGCTGCGGTATGAAGATGAACATCGAGGTCCTGGGATCAACCGTAAATGTTCCTCTGCTGCGCTTCTGACGGCAAGCCGTCCGCCTCGAAACAAGTGACGCGAGCACCTCTGAGTCGTTGTTCACTTATTTCGGTCTTGATTTTCAGAATTTGTGCATGGGCCTTTTTTCGGTAGTTGGCCTGTCACCACGGAAGGCGTCCAAGTCAGTTGGACCACCAAAACGTAGTACAGATACTAGAAGATGATGACTGAGGAGACACCGAAACGGTTTCATAATGAGAGGATATCACCGACAACAGCAACAACAACAGCAACGGTTTCTTAATGAGAAGATATCAACAAACAACAACAACAACAACAACAACAACAGCAACAACAACGCACCTCCTTGTGGGTCAAAGACCCAGCCGTCCCCGGATCACTCCTGACGTACCCTTCCATCTCTGGCAACTTCCTCCTGAGGCTGTCTGGATCAACCTGCACAAAGGCATCCATGGGAAAAAGTCCTCGCTCTCCCAGGACGCCCATGACATGGCTCTTCCCGGCACCCTACGCACCACGAGGACAAGGACAACAGAAAAAAGGCGTTCAAACGACAACGGAAACAAATAAAAGATGACTATTGTAAGGAATAGGTAATCATGTTTACCCTACGACCTCGCGACGAGCGATGAGCGAGAGGGGTGGCTGGATCCTCCTCGCGATAAAAAGCGAGGCAAAAATAACGCAGTGAGGGGAGAAGGAGAAAGCAAAAGGCATGGTACACAGCAGTCCCGTGTGGTCTTCACTTCACCTGTGTCATTCACCCCGGCTGGTGCATCAAAACAAAAAAAAATTACCCAAAGGTGCGGGGATGCATCTATTGTAGTGTAACGACGACCTCTTGGTAAAAGAATGTCGCGGACGACTTTGTCTTCAAGTGCCAGGAACACGCGGTGATGGGCGCCTGCCTTGCCACGAGATAAGGCATTCCCCTAACATGCATACCGTGGTACATGGTTGTCGACCGCGTCCTTGGATTCAGTTGAGGTACAAAATACACACATTATGTCGGGAGAGGTTGGCCTGAGAAAAACTGGCAGCTTATGCCCTAAAAACCATTCGAGCAGCCATCTACCACCGCGCACAAAAGGAGCTGTGCAGAGTGCAGAGCGAAAGTCCCCTTCCTGTCTTCCGGTTTCTCACCATCGCGCCCGCAGTAAACACCGCCCACGGGTTCTCCAGAGACCCTGGCGTTTTTGTCCGCAGGGCCTCCTGCAGAATGTCGTCCTGGACCTAAACGTTACGACAACATCAAGATCAACAGCAAACCCGACACCACGAGTCAAAGGTTTTGGGAAGGGGGGGGGGGTTCTGAGTTTGCTGCCGGTTGCAGCAAGTCAAGTCGTGTGGCCATGGAGGACGTGCCCCTCTTGAGACGGAATCCCGTGTGCGTCCAAGCTCTACTTGGTCGCTGCTGCAACGCAACGTTTTGTTCATTGGAGTGGTGGCTGCGGGCGTCTCGATCTTCAGCACATAAGATGCGCAAAAAAAATAAACTAGCATCCCAAGATATTAATTTGGCGTTCAGATATTTGTGGACCCACTGGGTTGGAGCAAGTTTATCCGGAGGTGTCCCCTCCGTAAGTCCTCACAGCGCTGGTCACTCAATCACTCACGTGCTGCCGTTCCAAGGTGTAGTGCGAGTGGTAGCTGTAGTCCAGCAGGGAACGCGCCTCTCCAAACCTGCATTGTGAAGACATGCAGCATGCCGCTTCTGTTGTGTCGTACTTTCGTTCGTGCTTCTCGTTTCGATATCGTCAGCTTTCAACTTTGATGTTCGATCGTTTGTTGTCTCGTCCAATCATTGAAACAAAAAAGAAGCCGAAAGCCTGATCTTGCGTAGTGCGATTTCCGAAATTCGCCATGAGTACATATGAATGATACTGGTTAGAATTCGTTAGACTTCCACTCGATTTGCGCTGAAGACAACCGCAACCAAGTACCAGGTATGTAGCAAAGCACCAGCCCAACCGAAACAGTGTTTGCTATGCATACACTGCACACCAATGGCACCTCGCCGCCAACATTGAAGGGGCTTTTTTGGCCACGGGTGTGCTTTGTTCAACATGTGGTGTTGGTGTAATTGCAAATTAAAACTTCCCTCAGAGACGGTGGGGTTCATAGTTTCAATGCTGGCATTCTTGGAATTTGGACGAAACGATTACCACGGGCTATCATACACGCAAATCTGATCACTAACCACGAGCAACGCGACAATGGCAGCACGCAACACTCGGAACGTGCGACGAACCTAGCCAGCGTTGAAGGAGCAGCACTAGAAATAACCCAAACCCTACTACCCTTTACATTGTATTGCACAAAGGGCGAGTCCTAACCGACGACCTTTCTCACCTCTCGGCAAACGTCCCGTTCTCCACCTCCACCTTCACCTCATAGTTGGCTTCCGTGCTACGGCTGAAATCATACCCCTCGACGCCCCCATCCCCCCCGTCTTGCCCCTCCACTCCTCCAGCGTCATCGCCGTAATCGTTGCCGCCGCCGCTGCCGCTGTTGCTCTTCTTGTCAGCGTCGACGGGCCACACGCTGAGCCGCGCCTCTTCGCACCTCCAATCAACAGCGGACGAGCCGCCGAAATCAGAAGAACAACATCCATCAGCAGCCTTCTCAGTCGCCGCCACTACTGCCCTATTCTCGGGCCAACGGGCCGGCTTTTCGGCCCAATCGGGCGGTTTCTCGTACCAATCAGAAGCGGCGGTGGCGGTGGTGGTATCCTCGCACCCTTCGCAGTCACAGACGGGCTGCTGCATAGAGGCCCGTACAGCAGTGGTCGTGACCGTGACCGTAGGGTCGGGACTGCTTTTGATGGACTCCTTGCTGCGCCCCATCGACTGGGCCGCGACCAGCTGTACCGCCACCCCCGCCCTCCACAGGGCCAGAAAGGTCGGGACATTGCGACGGCAGCGAGACCCCCGGTGCTATTATACAGAGAGAGAGAGAGAGAGAGAGAGAGAGAGAGAGAGAGAGAGAGAGAGAGAGAGAGAGAGAGAGAGAGAGAGAGAGAGAGAGAGAGAGAGCAGACAGAGAGACAGAGAGACAGACAGACAGACAGACAGACAGACAGAACAAAAAGTCCGTGTTGAGCCTGTTACCCACGCGGGAGATATCGCTGTGTGCTGCTCGGAGAATCGTACGAGTGCAGGTTGGCCATACAACATGCATAAACAGGACAAATACCCTCGGGACTTACAGATGTATGGGTATAAATGAACATCTTTTCTGACTTAATTAGAACAAAACACAGGGCACAACACACACAAGAACACAGCAGAAAAACATTTGGTGTGGCTCAAAAACATTCCTCTCTCCAGGGCAAGACACGCGAGCAGTTCGCCAATGGGGTCTCTGTCGGTCGGCTCTTGCCTGCGCCTCGCAAAAGCAAGAAGTTCTCTTTCTCTTCTCAGGAGAAGACAAAGAGTAGCTTTCGCATCCGGCAGCAGACGGCACATGATGTGTGCAAGAAAAAAACGGTGAAAGTTCGCTGGCGAGACCACCAAGTGAGAGAAGGATCAGGGTGCGTCGAAAACTATTATTAATAATAATAATTACTCAGTAAACCGGCATGACATGAGCGACGCAACAGCGGTTCAACGTACAGCAGTCAGTACCATACAGCAGTAGTCTGGTACGTCGTAGTCCAGCCCGAACACACCTGTGGACTACAATCTCATCACACGTACCATGATATCCTGCGTAAAAGAGTGACCAAGCAGAGAACTGCAGGACAAGATGTGTAAATTTTTGCTGCAAGTACCTAAAGTAGGTGTTGTTATGATTACCAGTGTGTATAGGCTAACAGAGACTAAAATAAGCCCAGAATACAGAAGGCTTTCTTCCCAGACCACTGCTGCGAAGACTTCCAACACATCCTCTTCGACTACAATACAGCTGTGGTACAAAATACAGTATCTCGTTCGGGCAGTCTTTCAGTGGTCGTATGCATATGCAAAATTGTACTGCACTGGTAGTAAGCAACGGCAGTCTTAGAGCACAGAAACTCAATAGCTCTCCGGTCCAAGAGATAGGGTCCTCCCAAATGTCACGGCAGCAGCAGGCAGATGGACCGCCCGTCGAAAAGGTGAGTAGAATGTGAGGGTGCCATTAGAGCGTTTGTAACGGATACAAAGTAGATGACCATCGGCTGTGCTATATACCGCACTCACAATGCTTTTCAGTTGTTAGGGCATCAGGACGCGGATCTCTGCGATGCTCATCTATTTCCCGATACAGCGTGTTACGTTTGTATGGGGGTTTTGAGGCCCAACCTCCAGACATCGACCCCGGTCGGCTTCAAAATCCGGACTTAGAAAAAAGGCGGAACACTGCTGCAGAGCTTCATGGTATCTATGATCGTCTTGAAGATCAAGAAACAACAACAAGACGATGAGACGAAAGCTGTGTGGAGGAGCTGCCGTTCTCATTGCCTTCCACTCCTATTGAATAGAAGAAGTAACAAGTTCGAGTGGTCTACAGCAACAATATCGCCCAATCGCCTCGCCCCGCTGCCCGAGAAGCGTGATGAGCCAAAGGGCTAGCTGGTTAGCTACAATCGGCCCATCGGCGCCAAGCCTACTCGCTGGCGGACCACCTACGCAAAATTTAACCCCAAAGAACGGATTGGATACTTTATCCCATATGTTTGCTTAATCAATTTTGCTGGGTAGACTACTGTATCTCTGGCTCATCGTCCATCAAGCAAGGGCCACCAAGATAGCCACACAAATACAGCTGTATCGCCTAAGCACCCAACAAGTGCGCTATTCTCGCTATGTTCAAAACAAAAAAACTCACCTCTGAAAACTCTGAATGCAGCCCCAGCACTGCCAACCGTCGCCGTTCCTCCTGCTGCTGTCGTTGAAGTCTCGCTCTGCGCCTGCTGCTGCTGCCGCTGCTGCTGCCGTGCATCGTGTTACTCTCGACAATTTGCGAAAGCAAACACTAGCGCGAGGTTGTAAAGCCGCAGGCGATGGCACCCATGCCCGCAAATCTCGGCTCTCCTATAATCCGCGGTTTGCCCTTCACACGTGGACACCGCCGGCCTTGCCGACACGCGTACGTACGTATGTCCTTTGAAGTAGAACACTTCTTCACGAACACGAAAACTCTCACGGATATGGCGGGACTGTATTGAAAAAAGGGAAAAAATCAAGCTAAAGAATCAAGCTTGATTTCACCTTTGGCAACCAACAGCTGCTACTGCTCGCCTGGCACCTTAGTCCAGCTGCGGCCTTCTCCTTCTCAATGCTGGCTTTCTTTTCTCTCGGTGGGCTTGGCGCCGGCAGTAATTCGCGCAATGTGCCTCGCTGATCGCGTCGCATGCGATGTACTCTCAGAACGCGCTGGACGAAAAAAAAAACGGAGACAGGCAGACTGCCGACTGCCCGACAGAGAGAGAGAGAGAGAGAGAGAGAGAGAGAGAGAGAGAGAGAGAGAGAGAGAGAAAGAGAGAGACACACACAGAGTTTCTCCACGTTCCCACCGCTTCTCCTTGTCCCGATGTCTCCGAAGGGCAGTGAAAAGAGTACCACTTTCCTTCTGGGTGCTGGTTGTACTGCTGTTGAAGGGGAAGCGCTGCCTCTCTCATGTGTTTCCTTTTTGGTGTAAAAACGCCACTTTGCATTTTTTCATGCGATCGTATCAACCCCCCCCCCTCTCCCGAAAAAAAAAATGTTGGGACCCTCGTGAACCGGTGAGCAAAAAAATAATTTTTCCGGCAGGGACGGGGCAACAGCCACAGAGACACACAACGCACACAGCAGCACGAGCTCACACACCCACCCACCCACACACCACGCCAGATTAGCAGCCTACCACCCCACGCCCCGCACGCAGTAGCCACGCCCAACAAGAGAGGAATTCTCCGCTGTTGCAGCAACACAGCGAGGGCCAGCTTTCGAGAGAGAGAGGGAGTACGGTGTGGATCCGAGCATCATTTTCGCAAACTACCACAGCAATCGGAGGTGTCGATTTGAGAAGGAGGGAAGACAGACAGAGCACGGCCGCTGGACTATCATCTACCTGCCGCCATCTCAGCCGGTGAGTGAGCGACCGGTGTGGCATCCTCAGCATGCCGCAGTTTTTCGATTTTGATGGGGAAGCGTGGGGGGGATGACTGCTGTTTTGATCCGACTCCAACAAACGCTTGAAAGAATTGCACAACGGGCTGGCAACGGGATGTAGACTAGAACAACGACGGAACGTAGCGCTGACTACACCAACCCACGCTCTCTCGCAGCACGATGTGCGGTGACTGCTTGTGTCCCGTACACTTTACCCGCAATGCATTGCCGTGCTCTGCGCCATCAGGACTAGACTACCCCCTGTTTTTTTTCGAAGGGAATTTGAAAGAGATGTTGGTGCGACAACATGCTGTACATTCCACCGTACGCTACTGTATTGTAGACTCGGCTTGTACCGGAAGATCGAATCCTGTACCCACCACCACGTTAGCCCTACATGTTACAGAGCTTTCCCAATAACAATCCACCGTGTTGTTTTGGTTGGCTAGATGCGCAAGTGGGTATCAACAGAGATCCCTAGGGCAATGTGTGTCGCATCACCAAGCAGCAGTAACATGTACGTCCATCCACTCTCATTTTTTTTTTTCTCCGGTTTCTCGGTTTTCTCTTTTTCTCTCTTTTTTTTTCTCTCTTTTTCTGTGCCAGATGGCCTTGTCTCTGCTTGCGTTGTGAAGTACCAAGATTGAACCAAGGGGGTGTACCTCTTTCTCTCCGGCCCGTGATAGTGACTCCTAGTCTCAGTTGATACCTCGCATAGCGCGCAGAGGGAGTGGAGGACTCCAGAATATCTGTCGATGATTTCTATTGACTTGCGGACCCCTCGGGGCCAGTTTATTTGAGTGTACCTCTTTACGGTAAGTTAACCTGTGACCATGGGAATCGACCGCGTCGAGTGTTGGATCAGTACGGACATGCTAAGGTACTGGGTAGAGAGAGATCGGAACGGTTTTTAATGTGAAGACAACAACAACACCACCACCAACAACAACAACAACCCCCTTCCTTGTTATTTGCCGCGCCTGCCCTGTTTCCGTGTAACGGTAGACTAAATAGTGACCTGGCAGGAACAAGGCTAGGCTAGACCTAAAAAGGTCAGAGATGGCATCATCGAAGGACCCGCGTTGGCCACGCCTGCTGCCACGTCCTCAAGACAAAAACAAGACCACCCAGCAGGAGCACCAGAAGCTGGGAGCGCCGGGACTATCATCAGGACCGGACGCCACCGCTACCGGCCCCGGGATGACCCCGACATCGCCGGGTTGCGCGCGGGCTAACGGTACGGACCGCGACACGTCCAAGCTCACAGTGGCGGGCTCCGGGCGCCACCGGCCCCCGCCGCTGGTCTGCCCCTCCGCGCACACCGCCGCCGCCGCCGCCGCCGCCATCGACAAGCCGCCCCCGACCATCGTCGTCTTCAACTCGCCCATGTCGTCCGCCGCTAGCTCCGCTGCCGACGCCGCCACCGCCGTCGCCGACGATCATAACGACGTCGATGGTGACAGCAGCTCCTCGAGCGCCGTCGAGAACGGCTCGCAGTCCAACAACAGCTCGGGATCCGACTGGGCTGCCCTCTGCCACCATCCTTCCGGCGCTAACGACAACAACAGCAACAACGCCGTCAGCCCGGCGGCGGCAGAGGGGCAACTCCGTCAGGACTACGCCGCCGCCGCCCAGTTGCTCGGCGTCCCGACCAGGATCATCTCGACGGCGGAGAGTAGATCGAATCCTCCGTCTCCCACCGGTAGCGACGAAGCAGCCTCAGGGAGTAGTATCCCGGCCGACCAGCAGCAGGAGACGGAGGAGGAGCAAGAGAGGAGGAAGCAGCGGAGGGAGGCGGACTTGCTTCTCCAGGCGGGCATCGCGCGGGTGGCGGGCACGGCTCGCTCGTCGTCGCTTTCGCCCGCTGCTGGTGCTGCGTTGGACCAGAGGAGGAACACACAAGGCGGCGATGGCGGCGGCGGCGGCGGCGGCAACACTCGCAGCAAAGCGCTGCCGCAGCCGCGTCCTCTGCAGCTGTGGTCGCCGTGGCGGGCGGCAATGACTGAGGGCGACGACAACGAACCCGCCGGCGCAGCAGGTGTGATGAATAGATAGATATCTTGAGTCGTGGTGTAGCGACCAACCCCACACGTATTCAACCCTAAGTTTTGCTCGAATTACCTTTGCCTCATGCGCATGTTCTCTATTAAGAAGAGACAAAAAAAATGACAACGGCAACGACAATGATGGCGATATTGTAACAACAAACAAACAACAACAGCAGCGCCGTTTAGAGCAGAGCCAAAGAGGTAGCAGTTGGACTGTTGGAAGGAACGGTGATGTTATTGTTCTCCTTGGTTCATTGTTCGTTGCTGTTTTCCGAATGCCCTACACAGTTTCATGTCACCCCCCTTTTGTGTTGGAAAGCCATCAACAAATAAAAATAATCCATCAAATCACGTCCGGTGGGACATTGACATGGAGTTGCGTCGGTATTCCGCCGAATGGGAAATAGCACCAAAACCCTCTACCTTACACCGCATCTTCTTCTAACCTTACACCGCATATTACGATGGTGAACCAATGCACACAAGTTGTTCGTTACCCACCCCGCGTCTCTCCCAATGACTTACTCATGTTCCCCTCCCTCTCCCCAAACAACCAACTTTGCACCACCCAGGCGAACTCCCGGCCGCGAAAGCTCTCGTCGACGACACACCACCTCAGGAGGAGGAGGCAGGCTCGGGCGGCGGCGGTGGCAACGGGCTGTGGCAGTTCTTGGCCAGAGGCGTAGCGGCCCTCGCGGTGCCCGACACGAACCCGGAGGTGCTGACGGAGGCGGCGGCGGCGGCGGCCGAGGAAGAGGCTAGGACGGCGCTGGCGGCGGCCCTCGGTGCCGGGCCTGTAGTGGTGGGAGGCGAGCCTGTGGGCGACGGAGATGCGCTGTCGTCGGCGTCGTCGCTGCTGCGCATGGAGGAGGAGGAAGAGGAAGAGGAGGAGAAGGGCGGCGGCGAGGGAGAGGAGGAGCCGCGGTATGAGGAGGAAGGTGGTGGTGGTGGTGGTGGTGGTGAGGGCTACGAGTTCTCCGACTTCGACGAGGACGACGAGGAGGAGGGCATGATGGTGGACGTGATGAGCGCGATCATCGAGGGGGAGGCGGAGGACGAGTCGGAACGGTCGTCCTTGTCTTCTACCGCTTTCCGCTCGAACGGCAGCAACAACAACAACGACAACGACAACAACGCCCACAACTACCACGACGACGATGACGGCATCAGACCCGATGACGGCATCAGACCCGAACGGTCCGGAGAAAAAGAACAAGCTTCGGACCCCGCCAAACGAACGGGTGGCCACGAAGAAGACCCCGTCGGTGGAGGAGACAACGATTACCGGGGAGGCGAGCAAGGCGCTGCTGCTGCTGCTGCTGATGATGATGATGATGATGACGATGAAGATGACTCTGACGAGGAGGTGTGGGTGTGGTCGCCGGACGACGTCGAGATGCGAAGCGAGTTCAGCAGCATGCCCGGCGGCAGCAGCATCCGCGGCGACAGCACCAGCGTCCGCGGCGACAGCAGCATGCGCGTTCCGGGGGATTATGACCTCGAGGAAGAGGAGGAGAACGACCTCGACGAAGACATGCCCGCCACCAAGCGAGAGGGTCACCGCAGCAGCAGCAGCAGCAGCAGCCTGGATGGCAAGGGCGGTGAGGGTGGTGCCCGCGACTCGGCGTGCGAAGTTCTGCCGATGAGCATCGGCGCCCGCGCCTGCGGGGACTCGGCGTGCGAGGTCTTGCCGAGGGAAGGAGACCAGGTGGAAGAGCGGGCCCGTGCCATCGAGAAGAAGAGCGAGGAGGAAGGGGGACAGGATCAGCAGGTGGTGGTAGAGGTGGTCGATGCGATGGAGGAAAGGGGCCAGGATCAGCAGCAGGTGGTGGTAGAGGAGGTCCCCACGGAGGAGGCGGTGGCAGAGGCGGCGGGGACGGTGGTGACGGACCCCAACCCAGCTGCTGCAGGAGAGGAAGATGGCTCGGACGATGCTACCACCGCCTCCACGCCCGCAGCCGTTGCCGCCGACAACGCCGACAACGCCGACAACGCCCCCCCGCTTGAAGACAGCAGTCCCGAGGAGGTGGAGGAAGAAGAAGAGGAGCAGCACAGCGGTGACCACCACCACCACCACCAGCATCAGCAGCAGCTCCCGGCCCGCGACAGTTGCAGCCGCAGCCGCGCCAGCAGCATCAAGGGTGGTGGTGATGACGAGTCCGCTGCCTCGGACAATCAGTGCGGGGGCGGCGGCGGCGGCGGCGGCGGCAGCAGCAACGCCAGCAGTGACTACGAGTCTGACAACGACAACGACAACGATAACGATGACGAAAGGGAGGAGGACGACATTTTCACCAAGTTCGACGACGAAGAAATGCCCATGGCTGCCGTACCGACAACGGCGACAGCGGAAGCAGAACCGTCCGCCGCGGGTGCTCCGTCATCACAAAGCGGCGATGCGGCGGCGGCAGGGAGCAAAGTCGGCGAGGGCGCCGGGGCGGGCGGCGTCTGGGCAGACTTCGGGTGCACGGAGGGGTACGGCGATGGGTACGGCGACAGCGACGCCGAGAGCGAGTACACACCAGAAGAGGCGATCGAGGTCCTGCGCAAGGCGGCCATCAGGTACTCCACCGCCGGGAGGGCGGCGGCGGGGGGGCTCCGCGCCAGCAGCGCCGGGGGAATGAGCACGGGCAGCCTCAGGAGCTTGCTGCAGCAGGCGGCCGCGGAGGAGGAGGAAGAGGAAGCTGCTCCTGACGATGGAGGAGGGAAAGGAACTATTAATAGTACTCCTGCCCGTTCTCGTTGTTCGTCTGCCCGCTCTTCGCTGCTTGTCGCCGCCGAGAGCGATGGTTGCGCCGAGGAGGAGGGAGGCGGGGAGAAGGGGGGAAACCCGGAGGGCATGCTCAAGATGGAGAAGAGCTTCAAGAAGGCGTGCAGGATTCTAGGTGAGTTGTTGGTTACTTATGTTGTTGCTGCTGTTGTTAGCTTCTTTGGGCTTGACGAGCTCGGGATGGGGGGGGGGGGGGGGGGGGTTGTCGTGTAAAGCCAGCGCTACGTGTTGGTTCCGTGTTGGTTCCGTGCGGTATGGTTTCATGGCTACATCGCTCTTTGTTTAATGGACGATATCTAATCAAGGCTCTATGGGCTGCTGTTCCCTGTCCGTCTAGGACATTTCGACGGCGAAACCATGTTCGTTCGTTTCAATCATGTGTCGATTCTTTGTTCTGCCGTTCTCACCCAACGCCCCATTTTTCCTTATCATATGTCCATTTTACGGTGTGCTGTCTTGTTTCCCGTGTACTTGGGGTAACCCCCATCAAAGTAGCAACTTTACTGAGGTATTGACGCCAAGCATGCACTGTGTCCTCGGCAAGCACTCTCACCCCCCCCCCCCCACCCCCCCCCCTTTCCCCCACACACAAAAAAAAAAAAAACACTTTTTTTAAACCCCCCTCAAATCCCCCTTTTAAAAACAACCCTACTAAAACTCCAACAC